TTGAATTATATGTTTTTTGGGGTGTAGATTACGAATCTGAAATCCATTTTTGGCGGTCGGCATTGGAAAACCGATTTTTTTCCGACCCAAAAATATCACACGTAGCGCACGACATCTTGAATGAAACTTACCCGTTGCACTGCAACGGGTAAAGAAGACGAAAATGTTACCCGTTGCACTGCAACGGGTAACATTTTCGTCTTCTTTGTCCATAAATCTGGAGATACATTGCCACATCGAGAGATCACAGCCTAACGCCAACTCGCAGGTTGGGTTGGTTCGCCCAGGTTCCTTTGAGTGGGTAACGTAAGTTACGTAACCCCCATGTTAGTAAATAAAGGTGAGTGGGTAACGTAAGTTACGTAACCCCCATGTTAGTAAGTCGCGAAAAAAATCGGTTTTCCGATGCCGACCGCCAAAAATGGATTTCAGATTCGTAATCTACACCCCAAAAAACATATAATTCAAAAAAACACCTTTTTTTTGGATGTAGTTAATCTGCAATAATACCATTAAAATAATAGTGAGGCGTGTAATTTATATACCAGCAGGCTGTAGAGTGTAGAATGTAGATCGCTCCGATTTTGGACCGGCATTGAAGTAAAGTTTTTTAAACTAAGTGGAACGACGAGCACGTGACGCACTACAGGCGTACAAGCTGGATACCGCAAATTACAGACACACAGAGGCTCAGAGCTGATTATCGTAGGTAGGTATAAGGTAGCTACTAGCTAGTCATCATAAAGTTGTAAGATTTTAAGAAAGCACGAATCAGGCTTGCAACATTTGTGCATGACCACTTGCAATGATAGGTTTCACAATAAATTTCCCTTCAAGTTTTAAACAATCACGGTTAATCCATGTATCAGGCTTCCATTTTAGTCCATTATCCAGAGAAATAGCATTCGCGATGGCAACTGGAAAGAATATAACTTATAATAAATATCTATTGCCTCACTATCGATTATATAATACAAGCACACACCACGGTTTTTAAAATTGGTTTGAAGGCTTCGGGTATGCATAATGCAGGTATGGTAACACACCTTTAACCTGAGCACCATAACACACCGCGGCCATGATTATCATCTGATGATCTTACACGATTTGACATGTAAACAAAAAATGTTGCCATTTCCTCTAACTAGTATTTTCATTGATGATCTGAGAAAACTGAGGTTGACGGTATGTTTTGGCTCGAGCGTTTTTACTTCTTGCGGCGTGTTATTATTGTCAGATATACATTTTTAAAATAAAATCTGCTATAGGGAATAACATAAATGATAATTTATACAGTTTTAGATAAGTTTTTGTGACCAGATTAGTAATTAAATTACTCTGACTCTGAACCTAGACTTCATCTTGCCTTCATTTTGTCCAATGTATCTGGAAGAATCTAATGTTGTTGATCGAATTATTCACTCAAATTACCTAAACTTAAAAAAATTGTCTAGAAAATTGGTTCTTGAGACCACTGTAATAACAGCTGCGAAACTTTTTAAATCGCTTGAAAACTTTTGATCGAAAAAGTTTGAACGAATTTTTGGAACGAATGCTCATAGCATGTAAGAGCATAACTTTGTATTCATAATTTGCTTCTGCGAGTGTCGCCGGAATCTTTTCGCTTTGCATACTCAACTAATTGAGCACACAGGCGAGTTCCGAGATGCTCCTTTCGGTGCGTTGAGAGCACTACGGGAAAGCGAAACAGAGAGAAAAAAATTCTGACAGCGCTTGCAGGAGTGCTTTGCGAATTAAATATACTTCAGTTCTAAATTAACTAAGTTTTGCGTGAAAAGTTGTAAAAAATTATTTCCAAGAGTGTTGGAGTGGTAAATGCACGATGTCCATAAACAGTCGATATTTAAAATTTCAAACTTATCGGTTCATTCGACAGCGGATCCAAATGCATGGGTCCAACGCACAACGCCGTTAGATCAGAAAAACATTATTGTATACAGAGAAAAGTTAAGGGATATACGGAAAAAGCAAGCATAGCGAGGACTGAATGACCGATTTTGGAAAGGCTTCAGCGCCGCAGGTTCACAAAATTTCCATATGTAGGCCTTATATGATATCATATGTTGAAGCTCCGTAAGCATTAGCATTTTACTCGTGAAAGAGCAATGAAGCGACAAACAAACTAATTTTAAGATACAAATACTCAAGCAATCATTAAAACGCAGTTTTTGAGGAGATTTCACAGAGCTAAACAAACATACTCACGACTGGTACCAGAACGATCCGTTCATATTGTTGTTTAGTATAGACACATGAGCAGTTTCTAACCGATTCGACACTTCAGCGAACTCGCCTGCGCTGAAGTGTCGAATCGGTGCAGTTTCTGGAGACCCGCAACAAGCAATGAAAATTTCTGTGACGTTGAGAATAGGCGACAGGCGTAAAGACCTAATCTTCTACACTGGACTCACACCATTAATATTTACAAAAAATAAAAAAAAAATTCCCCAAAAATTTTGTGCAAAAGTTCGTCCCATATGTGTCGGAGCGGTCCGGAGGTCGTAACTAATACATATATGTTTATTTAGATTAAAAATATATTGCGCATCCTTCGTAAAAAAAGTAGTAAGGTTATTGCGACTCACATATTCATCACTAATATCACGGCATATCCTTTTAAATTTTTCGGTAGCGGAAAATGTAACGTACCCAAATAAGCAGTTATTTGGCCTTTGGGTACGTTAAATTTTCCGCTTTTGCGTACTGTACTGCCACTGATGGAGAGACAATTCGGATTCCGGTTTAAACTTCGGACCGAGACGGACGTAAGTTTTTGTGCTCTGTGCCCGACTGTGAAAATCACATAAATATAGTTTAATATTCAATATTGTAATTATAGATAGGTGTGTGGAGCAAAAGCTTGAGGCTAGAAGCTCCTTATTTATCTAAAGGATGCCGGTGCGTCGGCAGAAGCGGCGTAAGGGGGGCAGTTCGTCTATGTCTGATTCATACGGGGACACCGGCTCTTCTGCGACTGCATCATCCTACTCTGGAAAAGTCCTATTTTTGTCTGAAATATCGCGGCTCTAATATCATATAATTTCAGTAGGTATGAAATCTCGCGGCTCTAATATCATATAATTTCAGTAGGTATGAAATCTCGCGGCTCGAATGTCATAAATTTTTGTTTGATTAAAAAATCGCGGTTTGCACTTCGCAAACATGTCATTTCATAAAATTTTCAACTTCCGCAATCCGCATTGCCTGTCTCTTATACACATCTAGATGTGTATAAGAGACAGGAACAGAGGAAAGGGGCGTCGGGCAGAGGAAAGGGGGCGTAGGGCAGAGGAAAGGGGCGTAGGGCAGAGGAAAGGGGCGTAGGGCAGAGGAAAGGGGCGTAGGGCAGAGGAAAGGGGCTGTCTCTTATACACATCTAGATGTGTATAAGAGACAGGTTCAGGCCAGCTGGAATCAGCTGTGGATGAATGAGGTAATCGCATCAGGGAGAGGCCGCTTCATCACTTTGATTAGAGATGAGGTAGGATTATGGCCCTGGGCCTCTCATAGTAACCGCTCCATTGAGACAGCTTTGACTAGACTCCGAACTGGGCATGCTGGAGTCAGAGCCCATTTGGCTCGCTTTAATCTTGTAATCAGCCCTTTGTGCTCATGCAGATCCCGTGAGACAATTGAACACTTACTGTTACACTGCCCTCTGGGCCAGCATGCTCGGGTGAACCTAACTAACCAACTAACCCGGGTAAATGTTCCTGTGACTCTTAAAAATGTGCTTGGAGGCAGCCCTTATCCCTGTGCAATTCAGAATTTAATTGTTGATGCTGTAGGTTCATTTTTGCTGGCCATAAATGTTTTGTATACCTTATGAACAATGAATTCTTATCTTATTATCTTAGAATCCATAGAACTCCTTATTAGAACTAACCACTCCTAAAATCTGTGGGATACTAACACAACCAGCATATTCACGTTCACCTTTGAATCAGCATAATTATAAATGCTTACTTTGAGACCAGCAGTACCAATCTATGCAGCTTGTTAGGATTATTATATTCATTGTTAGGCCCAGTATAGTTTAAATCATCAATATGCGTTCATAATTTCATGTACCAAGACTGCTTTGTAAAGACTGTTACTGCTTGCCACTAAATTGACCTTGATACTTGCTCCCTCAGAGAAAAGCCAACAGGAGTTATGCTTTCTTCTAAGTATACTGCACAGCAATTATTCAATAAAGTCATAATTTGTTTTACCAACTTGATCTTAAGAAGCTCCAGGTTGCCCCCACCCAGGCTGGACCTTCAGTAACTTGTGCATACTCATGTGAGGCTCAGTTCAGGGCATGGATATTGCAACTAACTGGTCTGGAAATTTTTATTTTATTCGATTTCTTTCTCTGTATTGATTCTTTTGTCTGGTGTGCAAGTTGAATTTTTATTTATAATTTTTTTTTTCATGCACAAGTTGAATTGGTTGTTGGGCCGCCTCTCTGAGGAGGCCCATGTGTATATAGATATGATATGATGTATAGATAAAGATGCAGGTGTATATAGATATGCTTCACGGCTCTGCCATGTCTTGTTCTCTTCAACGGGTTTGCCATCTACGCTATGTTACGTTATTGCATTTTATATTTTATTGTCCTTTTGTTCAAAAATGTTTTATTATTATTATTTTTTGTATTTCTTAATTTGTATTTATATTATATTTCATTTTTCTTTATGTTATTTCATTTTTATTATTATTTTTTTTTATTAATCTATTGTACTTATTTGTTTCTTTTAATTTTCTTTGTTTTCTGTTAATTAAACTTAATATTTATTTTATTAATTTTGTCCATTTTATCCTTATTATTTGTCTTGTTTTTTTTAATTTTTTTATTTTTTCCGTGTGTGTTCTCTCTTTGTTTCAGATTTTCACTTTCAGAGCTGTTAGACTGTTAGGTATCAATTAAAGCCAGTTTAGGCAAGGGGCTTTATGGACTAGTTTCCAGTGCTCCAATAAGAATAACTAAAAAAAAAAAAAGAGAGACAATTCTTCTGCACTCATATTTGTTTTTATGCAGGATGAAAACCGGCTAATGCGGCTATTGTGATTTAGCAATCATTTTTAACTTAAGGGTTATTTCAAATCGTTTTATTTATTTATATCCAACATGCGCAAAATTCATCCAGAATACAAGGTCAGTTGATGAATTAATATATTTATAGCTCATGTGGCAGTGGAACAGTGGAAGTCTTAACTCTTATTTACCTAATATTGGGCTTTGTTTTGTATTTTGTTTAACACTGAAAATTCATCTGAGCGCATCTGACTGATCAGAGCATATGCGTTTGTTACTAATATTTAAACTTCTGGTCCCTTGAGTGTTGAATTTCTACTGTCCCACCTGAATTTAAATTTGGGCTAAAGCTATTTCAGATTCAGAAAGACCACTAAGCCTAAGAGGTTATTCCAAAGCAATTGATAATTTGCATGAACTTGAAGGGGTGCTATGTCAATTTATTATTATTCTTTCTTTCTTGGCTCATTTATGTCATGAAAATTAAAAGAATGATTATTCTTATTTTGCTACATTTGGCTTTGCAAATCTCCTTTCCAAATTTAGCCTTGTGTCACAGATTTTTTGATACAAATATGGTACTGGTAGGCCCTATATTATATGCTATATCTATCTGAGTAGGGTAAACGCAGTATATTCCAACACTTTAACTTAAGGATGTAGCAAAAAATGAATGGCTATAAAAAAAACCGTATGTGCAACTTGAGTTCTGTTTGCTTTATGTCACTCTCCAAACACCGCACTACGAGCCAGCAACAATGAAACGTCACAAAATGTTGCCATATTTATTTAAAAGCCTTTAGAATGCAAACCTACCAAATTCATATATTCTGACACAGTGCAACACTGTGTGTAACTAAATTTTGCATTTTGTGAGACTCAATTTGGCCGCACTTCAAACTCTACTAATTCGTAATTCCAACACTCTTGTGTTCAAATTCCGATTGCTGTGTGAGCTGTATTGGAATACCACACACTACACAGCTTGGAATTAGAATACTATTGAATATTGAACACTACTTATTTAGGCTTTTAATTAAGAGCTATTAAGCTTTTAATTAAGAAAATTTTAGTTTTTGCACACAGCTTGGAACGAGCTGTGTGTTTCCAGGAACGAGCTGTGTCTAATTCCAAGCTGTGTCAGAATTAGTTTTTATGTGTCTATAACTGTCTCTTAACTTAATGTAATCCTCTATTAATTTATTTACGACTTGAAATCAGCAAATACAAGTATACTTAAAGGATTCCTAATATATTCACAGACTTATTTGAAAGTCTCAAACCATAATATTCTTTCTACACAAACAGTTTTTCACTATTTGGTAGAGCAAGGTTAACTATCAACTTTGACAATTTTTTCAATGTTCTCGCTAAGTGACGCGCACTGACTCTCTTTGGATCTCAACATTTTCCCGCCAGATGGCCCAGACCTAGTGTTTTGGCAATAGTATGGCGCGCAAAAGTATGATGTCACTATTTCAACCATCAACAAATGCCTGGAACTAAGAAAAAGCTTAATATAAAGGAAAAAAGTCAAGAAGTGTCGGAATTACCCACGATGTCGGAATATACCGCATTTACCCTATCTGTTTCAATATCTTAGGTATTGACTCTCAAAAGTCAAATCCATACTGCATAAGTAGGCACTTTCTATTAGGCAGGAATCAAATCTTAAATATCAAATATTGGGCCAAAATTTTTAAAATTGATGGCAAAAAACTTTTTCCATGCATGATTTAAAAATTTTATTTTTTTTTAATATAGGCTAGTAACAGCATAAATTTGCCATTTTGAAAATTTTTATGTGAAAGAAATTACTTTGGAGTTTTTGCCTTACTAATGGCTTCTGCATTTCATATTTATTTTTCTTGGTTCCTAAGTGGAAAAGTGGACTATATAAATCAGTGAATTGGACCAAAATGCCTGTGAATCAGGCCAATTTTACAGGTTCTTATGGCTTTTCATAATTTCTTCAGTGAAAATCGAGAAAAATGGCCTTTGTATTTAAACCTGCAAATATGAAAAATCACCTGTGAATGAAATGCTTTTATATATAGGTATATATATACCGGTAGTCAGATGGGGTAAGACAGGACAGAAATCACTAACAACTTAACAAGCCTGTAGCATCTATAGGTACCAAGAATAACTAAAAACCCTAAACCTATCACAAGGTGTATATATGCAATTGGCTTCTGAGCTACAACTCAGACGTTTTGCATCTAACATAGTTTTCTGTACAGATTAAAAAAAGTGAGCTGGTCCCATCTTACCCCACTGGGGTAAGATGGGACCAGGCATGGGATAAGACAGGCCAACTGGCAATTCTTATGTTAATGATTTTTAATAAAAGTACAAATCTGATATTCAATATTATCAATCTAGAAACACATTATTTGATTAAACAACCACTTGTTACTGTTTTTTGTTGCGGGAAGTCAGCTCTAATATCAGTCGCATTGGAATTTTTGTCATGAGAAAACTTTGTTAAGCATAGTAATAGTGGGTTGGCTTTGGTTCATTGTAGAGCACTGCTAAATGCTTCATGTATATTCCATTAGTGTCATTGTCTGAAAATTTATCAAATTGGTAATAAAACCAATGGATAATAACTTAAGTGTCAGACGTCATGTGTTTTCTTGCTAACTGCATTTGTGGTGCACTTCTTCTAATGTACGTAGCCCATGCCCTCTCACAGAGTTGTGATAATAATTATTTTTCATGTTTCACACAATGATTTTTCCCCCAGCCAATCTTGAACATAGGTAGTTCTGAAGCTCACTAATGGGAATAGACATTCCAATTTTCTATATCCCTTTGATGCAATTTATAATAGTGCACTAAATTTCTCTAATTAAAAAAGCTAACAAGTTATAATGAAGTTTGAGCCGTAGATAAAATTTTTGACCAAAATACTCTATGTAACCGGTACTGCACAATAATATATTCATTTAAAAACTATTTTTGACAAACTGTACGGTACCTAGGGTAATAGAGGACCATTTGTGGGGGAAGACAGGACCATTTGTGGGGTAAGATAGGACTACTTGTGGGGTAAAACAGGATCATTTAGTGGTCCCATCTTACCCCATGTTCAGTCCTTTTTTACCCCATTTTAGAATACATGTCAGGCAGTGATGGTAGCAGGTAGGAATGTCTAGTATGTTGCAAAAGTTGCTTATTACTTGTGGTTACCTGCCTACATCCACAAACCTGGCCAAAAAATTTTTTGTCATTAGACAGAGCTTATTTTCCAAACTATTTTGTGACCCTTCTTTACATAGGTTTTTTTTTCAAAAATTAGCCAGAAATTAATTATTTGCAGAAGAGGGTTGTCCACAAACACTGAAATGACAGGCAATGATTGCTCTAACATATTCTTTTGTCAAATCAAATTCAGTGCAATTAGAATACATGCCATGGGCTGGTCCTTTCTTACCCCATGAAGGCTGCGATCCTGTCTTACCCCATTTGACTGGAATTAACTTTGCTCATTAGAGGAATCAATTGTGAGCCAAATAGCTGTCGATTACTGAAGTTTTGCGGCCGCTGATTGTTTTTGCCAACCCGTATACCTGTTATTTTAGGAAAATTGTGCCAAATATTTCAAATAGGTCCTGGATTATGTTAATCTAATAATGAAAAAAATTTTTTAATTGCCCCAAAAATTTTAATGACACCTATAATTATTAAAAAAAATTTATCCTCAATCTTCAGAATTCAAATACCTACATCTATTTATTTATAATATAGACTACTTTACAGGTAGAACCGTATGTAACTACTTGAGGATCTTGATAGAATTTTATGTGATGATATTTTCTTACTTGTTAGGTACCTACTATTTTTATTTATGATATAAGGTATGATGAATGATGTATTGTTGGTATAAATTCTTTGTTTTTTTCTCTACTAGGCTCTGATGGACTATATCCAGCGGGGCCTGTTGGGAGATGTTAAGAAAACTGTGGATAACATAAAGCTTATGCCTAGAAGGGTTGACTGGTGTTCCATATTGCACAACAATTCAAGAGATACAGCTCTACATGTAGTTTGCAGATCTAAGAATGATTACATGTTGAGGTAAGATAATGCAAAATTTCCAATTGAAACATATCTCAGGAGGAATTTGTATTTGATTTGCAGCCCTGAGTGTGTTTTTATGCACATATGTATAATTGTGTCTGGCAATTGATAATAATATTTTGTCAAGGGAAGGATATTAAAAGGGATATATTGTTCAAATGTAATTAACTTGCTTATCATTTTTTAATTTGAATAAAAATTTGACTATGATGGTTACTAGGAATGCAAGAAATCTTTGATGATAGAAGAGGAACGTTTTCTTGGACATTCACTGTACATCAAGACTACATTTATCTAGCAACTATCCGCACATTCTAAGATTGATAATTACATTAAATTCATTCTCAGTATTGCAGTACGGTATATATAGATGCATATCAGCAAGTTTTTATAATCATGCAAATTTTTTTAGAACACTTGAATTTATGTAATATCCAAGGATATGGAAGCTTAAATTGTTTTAATGAATGTTTTTTGTTAATTGCAGTTATGTTATGACTGAAGGAATGCACACATGCCTTGAGCAAAGCAATGTTTATGGCAATCGGCCTCTGCATGAGGCTGCCAAGATCAGTAATATTTTTGCTGTCAACACATTCATTGAAATTGGTGAGTTAGTGCATCTGTGTTCAGGACTATATATATTTTATGTTAATTATAATTTTTGGAATTAATACTGTTGAAAAATATTTAGAAATGCAAGATTTTTCACTGATCATATAATTTTTGCAAATTTTTGTGACTTGCTGTCCAAGACCAATTGATTTACATTTGATTCTGGATATATTCTTATTCCATCTTCATCTTATTAAAAAATTTGAAAAATAGTATCATCTGAATTATGATAGTGAGCAAAATTTCCTTCTTGTTAGAAAATGAGTTTCTGATGGCACATACGGTATTGCTTTTTTCTTGCAGCTATAACATGAATCAACATATGTTCACACATTTTTTAAAGCATGTTACTGAATTTTATCATAAGACCATATAATATGCAGGCGCATTAGATAGTCTAATTATCAATAAGAATAATTACCTTGTTGCTGCAGGTGTTAAAGTAGATGCTTTGAACAATGCATTGAACACTCCCTTAATGCTGAGTGTAAGCTCGCGTGATGAGGATTCTGCGGCAGTTGTAGACGCTCTTCTGGGAGAAGGTAGCAACTCTGCACTTGTGAACCAGGTTAGTGGGAAGTGCTTGACACACCTATTTATGTGTGCAACATGAAGCCATGGAACTTGCTCTCTTTATTTGCATATGTTATTTTATTATGTTTTTAAAGCATTTGTATATGTATATATGTGAAGATATCATGTTCCCTTAATAATATGTACCTACGTATAACTGTGTGGCCTGAGATTGAATAAGCATTAATTTCTAATTTAATATTATTTAAATTTAATGATTTGTTTACGGATTCATCATCAATTGTTATTGCCATTATTATCAAATTTGCTTTATTAATTTTAAAACAGCTCTAGCAGCTGAATAAATTTCCGGAAAGATTTGAGTCAAAAGTTTTTGAGAATATGTTTGGTTTTTATCCATCATATAGGTAGTTGTTGCGATGGTTCCCAGTTCTCTCCAAAGTTTTCATTGATATTAGCTGAGAGGAGTGATTTTTCTCACTGGTTACCATACCTTCATTCCTTTGGTTTATACTCTCTGTCAGTAGTAGGTATTTATTGTTTTATCCCACAGTCACAAAAATTTTTTTTTAGTTGCTTGTTGTCACAAGATTTTTATTGTTTACAAAATATATTCATTGTTGATGCCCTGAGCTGCAAAGCATTTACTGTTTATAATCTTTTCCATAGGGTATCTATTGTTTATACCTTGTTCTCAAGTGGATCTTAAATTAATAAATTTCAATTTTGCATCTGTTCACCTTCAGTTTGGACAAACAGCAAGCCACGTGTGTAGTGGCCTTGGATCCCTTGAAGCCTTGCAGCTTCTACTGAAGCATGACAGTCGCACCTGCTCTGTCACTAGACTGGATGGTCGCTCCGCATTACACGCCGCAGGTATGTCTCAGTTATTTTGATATATCGTTCAAAAAAACTTACTTACTGGAGAAATGATGACATACCTACCTCTACAGTTGTTCTATCAATCCATTGCTGTGGTTTAAATACTATAGGGATTTCTTTGTTTGATGAATACTTTGTAAGAGGCACTTCAGGTTACTGATAATTTTGTCTCAACTTGTGCACTTTGTCTGCATGTTTTATCAGTCACCTCACAGAGAGGTTTTCATAACAGTGCATGGCTTCAGGTTTGTTTGAACTTATTACTTTTTTAATTTCCATAACTTACATTTCATTGCTTATTTACATGGCTCGTTTTCCTTATTTTTATTCTCTTTGTGCAATAATTTACCAGCTCACCACGGTCGGGAAGACCTGCTGGAGACGCTGCAGGAGCGTGGGCACCAGCAGGACAGCAACGTGCGGGCGCTGTGTGGGTCGACGCCCATCATGGACGCCCTGCGTCGTGGCCACGTCAGCACTGCAGCCGCCATCACTGCCCTCTGGCCCTTGACACACGTTGCGGCCAAAGATGCCAAGGGCAGGGGCCTCTGCCAGGTACTTTTCTTGTCAGCTCCTTATCTTGGCAGCTCCTTCTCTTGTCACTGACTTGCTAAACGTTTGATATTTTGGTGCTAATTTAATTCTATAAAATCTGACGATATTGAATAAACTGTAATCCATTTGCCTCTGCTTATTTTTCTATAGAGAAAGCAGTAGCAATTTTTGGTTGGTTATGGTAAGTATTAGTTTAGTCGCAACTTATCTTATATTTTATGCTGCATTGTTAAGTCGCATTTCACTGTATCGCATTGAGCCGTGACTTACGTTGATCGCTACTCATCTTATTGCTGTGAATTATTAAGTCTTGAGTCATGTACGATGTACTGAGATATTCTTGTCACTTTACCTGAGGTGGCCGCCGAGGGAGGGTATGTGGACGCTATCAAATTCGCTGTCAACGACCACAAATTGAGTCCGCTGCAGACTGATGACTTCGGTGAGTTCGTCAGGGTACCTACTGTCAAAATTTGCTAAGTGAACGTAAGTACTTACGCTCTATTTCCTTGTCTATGATTGGTGAATTTTGCTTGAAAGGCCGTCAATGATTGGCTGATGAACTTACGATCTCTTAACTTTTTTTGAAAGTATAGGCCCTGGGTACCTACTGTTAAAAATAGTCACGTTTGTTAACTCCTACCGACACACACTGACGGCTTTTTAAAACTAAGCTTACTAATCACTGATGAGTATTTATGTTATCTGCCGCTACGTGCACTTTGAAAGTTAAGTGTATTTAAGCCGCTACGTGTACCTAGGCCGCTACTTGTACTTCAACGAGTTTTGATAGTGATGTCTCAGAATATTAGCACAGTCCCTTGGAAACTCGCGAATTAGAAGGGTTGTAGAATAAAGCTTCTAAACTGGGATGATGCTAATTCTAGAACATTTTCACCTTGAAACCACAAACTACTAGAGCGTAATCGTTATGATCATCAAGAAATTTAATCTCGTTTCTGCTTACATTTTCAACAGATATTGGCTTATTTCAGTATTTTTCGGACTGATTTTTTTAATTTATCTCCCTCATGCTTTTTGTAAGACGTTTTATTTGATAAACTTCTCAATAAAATGCAAATGAACGCAAATAAAAGTAAATTTCAGTTTCATAGCTCTACCTTGATTGCAGAAATCGTTGCAAGGTGTTGCATATCAGCTGCCGTTATTTGTTACATACATTTTTTAACGGCTGTCTGTAATATACTGTATAATTAAACCTCTAACTGTTCGTATATAAAAAGTATTATTTAACACTTTGACTCCGATTGCTTCATCTTTTACTATTATTTCATTTTTTGTACTGTTTTTAAACAGGGTTGCCAGACGGTCATTATTTCCGGACAAATTCCGTGATTTAGTTTTTCTCAAACGCGTTGGCTGGCTAAAAGTTTTGATCGGGGTACTTCCTAATTAAACTTTAAATACTGAAAAAAGAAAATAAATGGAATTCTTGTAGCGGAACCTACAAATAAACTAGTATATATTGAGTTATCGGCCTTTTTTGGCCTTTTTTGTTCTCGGATTTGGCTGATTTTAGGCAACCTGAATTATGTACCTACCACTACGTTCTGGAGAAATATATTTTGTGGTACGCATATGTACCACTTTGGAGTTAACGTGTTAAGCGGTACTGAGTAAGATTTTTTAGGTAAATCAAACGCACGTCGCCCACTAAAAGGATCAGAATGGGCATGAGCGTTGCGCTCTATCTTTCAGGCAGAACTTCCCATCCTTGTGAGTTATTTTTGTGGTGGAGGTTCAATTGTTGTTGGGTATAATATGGTATTGATCATGTGGTCTATTGTTTAATTTTTTATGAGTTATATGTGGGTGTAGATAGCAAACATGCACTGCGTATTGATGTTTGGTGTTATATTGTCAAGATTTGACAAGCATTCGCCACTGGTATACTCGGGATTTGACAAGCATGCACTGCCTAGTTATTGTATTACCTGTACAATCGTGCTGTGAGTTGTCGAGTATGCAATACCTGGTTGAATGGCCGCTGTGTTGTAATGATACGCAATAAATAATGGCAAATATATTTGAATGGCCGCTGTGTTATGATGATACGGAATAAATAATGGCAAATATATTTGAATGTATTTGAATGGCTGCTGTGTTATGATGATACGGAATAAATAATGGCAAATATATTTGAATGGCTGCTGTGTTTTGATGATACGGAATAAATAATGGCAAATATATGTAAAGCGGGAAGCGATGGTGTAATCTGTGATTGCGGTGCAGGCGCGTGCAGCCTGCACAGTGCTGCAGGTGCAGGACGGTGCGAGGCGGTGCAGTTCCTAGTGCAAGACTTACAAGTTCCAGTCGACGTCAAAGACAACGCTGGCAAGACGCGTGAGTAAATACTTCAGTGTGTAAAAAAGTGTGTTACTGTTTGGATAATAGGACCCATCAGTTTTTCTGGGTGATATAAGTAATTGGAGGGACGTTATCGTTAATTGAATCCCATTTATGTTGTTTCTTTCATATTCTCCAGGGAAGGGAATAGCAGCGTTGAACTTGATCGTACCTACACAAAATTTAAATCTTCATTCTGGACAGTTGGAATTGAATCTCGTGGTGTCTATCCACTTGGCCATATTTATTTTTATTCTGGCTCGAGCGCTTTAGGCTAATGATCATGCTTTCTACTAATAACTGCATTGATATTAGCAGGGATCGATCCTTCTTCTCGTTTGCAACAGTATCCCCTGCACTGTCATAGAAAACGATCTCTTCCTTGTGATTTTCATATTGCCCTCACTCGTTTATCTCGAATTCCGGGCGACACAAATGAAATTCGAATTCTTTAATTCTAAGCTTCCTATCAAGAACCTATTTGAAAATAACCTAGATAAATTATTTAGTTCTAAATTATTGCCTAATTCTTGACTCTCTCATTTTAATTTGTTTTAATGGTTCACATCCAAGTTGAAATTGTTTTTACGTGCGCGACGTCTCGTTCTAACCACCAATGCAATGGCTACTAACGGATTTAGACAATAAAACTAAAATTGTAAATTAAAAAGTAAATTATTTTTTTGGTGTCTCTAACGATTTTATTTGAGAATCATGTTGTTATATTTGAAATGGTCCGAGGTAATTTGTAATTTATCTCTGTGTCTTCCGTACACTGCGCATCGCGGTAGTTGCAGCAATACATTATTATTATAATTACATTTAATTGATTTATGGTATTTTATTTTCTCTACATTTATTAAGTTACGCACACTTTGCATCTTATATTTGTAATTGCTATAATTTTTTGTATATTATTCACATATTGGGAATTTTTCAATTGTTTACATTTAATTAATTTATGGTAGTTTATTTTTCTACATTTATTAAGTTACGCACACTTTGCATCTTATATTTGTAATTGCTATAATTTTTTGTATATATTATTCATATATTGGGAATTTTTCAATTGTTTCAGCGCTGTGGTGGGCGCTGCAGAACCGACACACTGTGTGCGCTGAGCAGCTGCTGCAGCTCGGGGCTCAGCCGCTCGCTGAACCTGCGGCGCTGAAACAACGCTGAAAAATACTGCTCGCATCCACGCATCTCGGCAGAATTCCATTATTCCTGCATTTTTTTGTAATAACTTAGCGCGTGATGTAAAAAACAAATATTTTTTTCCTGACATAGCGCATGACGTAAAAAATATCATTTTTCTGGTATCAACGCATCTCTGCAGAATGTCTTCCTTCCTGCATTCTTTGTAATAACTTGGTGCGTAATGTAAAAAATATAACTCAGTACTCACTGCAGTGAGTGACAGAGAGCGCATTTTCTCGTCAACGAAAACGTAAAGTCACGGACGGACGGACGGACATGGCGAGCACAATTGTGCATTTTTTTCTATAAATGAGAAAATGCGCTAAAAATATATTTTTTTCTGGCATTCACGCATCTCTGCAGAATGTCATCCTTCCTGCAGTCTTTGTAATAACTTAGCGCACGATGTAAAAATATAATGATGGTATAATTGTGAGTAATAATTGTATTATATCTTGAGTTCTATGAACTTTTGAAAATTTAAGCCTTTCCTTATGAAAGATGAACCACGTATTCGGGAAGAGCTAAAACTATGAATGGTATCCCAGAATTTTTTTTTTCGTGCACCAATCAGAAATAATTTATTTGCCGCCTGATTGCTTCATTCTTACCTGATTTATTCTTTAATCGAGCAGTAAAAGGTTTACTGCAGTGTATAGCCAAGATTGGTGTGTTATTTCTGACAAAGAATTGACAGTTTCTATGAAGATTATACCGCGTACCACCTACCTCGTTGACCGACTTCATATATAGGAGCAAGAATCACAAGAATTGCTGTTGCCACTTACATGTTCATTTCAATGTGTTTAGCGTTGATCAAACTAATAAAAATTGGAACGGAACGTGTTCAGTGAAATGTGTGCATGGGCAGGAGATTTTTCGCCAGTTTGACGCATCCGATCCTGTGGAAGTTTCGTGTTCCTGCGAGCGTATTTGTCATCAAGACGAGGCTCTCATCGTCCGTAAAAATATACGTGTCGTTGTCATGAGTGTTTTATTATATCCACGGTTTTGTCTATTGAAGCTTTTTTCAAAGCCTTGACATATTTATGCAGATATACGTGATTATTAATTGACATATTTATGCAGATATACGTGATTATTAAGGATTTATACAGCAAGACATATATATTTAAAAATGATGCAGCAGAACCGGTGATTAATGCGTGGATGAATTATCAGAGCGAAAGCAAGTTAGTCGAATTACAAAATTCCAGTAGTTGGGCTTAAGATTGAGAAGGCTGTTAATAAATTGCGATGTTAATTGTTTTGAAAAGCTTAGAATATTTTACTTATGATGAGAACTGGGAATTTCATTGAAATCCATTTGTCATTCAGTTAATATTCATGTTGCAAGATTTTGAATTTTTATCACATTTAAAAATTTTTTCTATCCATAAATCTCGATTAAATATCTACCCCGTATCAAATCTTCGCACTGTTTTTTTTTGCATTCTTATTTGTGATCGTCTGTGAATTTCAACCAAAATGATTGTTTAGATTTAAAGTTATTGATCGTGAAATTTTTTGGATCTCTCTTTCGGAATTATAATTTATTATCTGATCTCGAAATATCGCTGCCCACCAAAATTGTATTCCAAATATGAATGAATCAACTTGCTAAAGTTGGTGCCGGGCTGCCTTAATTTGACCGTAGCCTTCGTTTCCCTGTTGTTCTGGAACGTTGCAGTCCCAGGCCACGCTGGTCCGCCACCTCGCAGTTCTTACGTGTGTTTTCCTTCATCCTTACCAGGTTTTATTTGAAATAGAACAGCCATTGAAAATAAGAAATGATCAGGCTCATTATAATTATTTTTTATATCTGCTGGATATGGGCCTGATATACGAGTCACTCTTCGTCATACATTCATTATTTTTCTCATTTATAGATGAATGTAGAATCCGTTCAGTGGAAAGAATGTCGTTATCTTAACTTCAAGTCAATTAATTAATCTACGCAAACATTTATGACACTATATAATTATCAGTGATACAAATTTGAATCGAGAATTTTGCCTATATATCGACATAGGCGTATGTTAGTCGATTGACTATCACATACCAAGAGGTTAACTTCACATTACCCTAGAGTTGATCATCACTATTTAGCCGCCAAAAATATATAAATGTAATGTTATACATGTGTGGGCGCCCCTATCTCTTGCCAAACGCTACAATCCGGGGCTCTGCCAGAGTATGAAAGGGCTCAGAATACAAGGCATTGAAGCAGGGCTTTTAACTATTGAAATGGTAAAATTGTGATGTCTACGAACCATAAACAATATGTTCCTAGATTTACGTCGTAGAGAACTACCGCTATAATAATTCATTTACACGAAAAATTCGTGGTTCTCTAAAATTGTTATTTTGACGCGATGTTCGCTGAGATTTTCGAATCCTTTTCTTGTCTCAGACAACAGACTTCTTGTGTTGGCTTTTGTTCCAGCGAAATGTTATTTATTGAGGCCCCTTAGCTCGTTGTGTGCTGTAGAGAACTCCTATAGAATTCACCCCTGAGTTCCTAGCATCTTTGGAGTTCATTTAATCCCTCTCCGCTTTGACACACGTTCTTCCATCTTGCACACTTCAATTTACCTTGGATCTTCTCGTATTTTTAGACTTGCTGTAGATTTTCTTGCTCGTCTCCTCTTTGTGGTATTAGTGGACAGAAAGAGAAGGATCTCCGACTCAAGCTTCTGAGCCAAATTTTTACGAGGTTTCCCCTAAAAACGGAGGGATCTGGATTTACTTTTGTGCTGCGTCGTACGATTGAGTTTGCATGACAAATACGGAGCGACGCGACCATTCTTGTTTCAAGTTGACGGCGCTTCAAACAAACGAGTGAAAAATGAACCTGCGGATTGATGAAATCGTTTGTGAATGCTGGACTTGACGAGAAAGTTACTTTTCTATGCAATGCAGTAACGACCTGAACATGACTGATCTCGCTTCACTTCCCACGAGGCAAATAACGTTGAAAATACACTATCGACGTAAATTCAACGTTTGCAACGTTTAATCAACGTTCATACAGCGTCCGATGCCCCGAGAGGTCGCGATTTCTCGTCCAGAAATGCTGCGAATTTTGCCCGCCCTGTTACTGCATTATACAAAACACAGTACCTATCAATTCGCAAAATTAGTGATAAAGCTTCTCACATATCAGAAGAATTTTCGTTTTGTAAAATATTTACAATACGATGTAAATAACAAAATATTTATGTTTTATATTGTGTTACACTATATATAATAAACACAATACAGCATTTTTAGCCCTGCGATTTGGCTGCATCCATTACCGGGCTTGTTCCCATTGTACGCGACAATTGTCGACATGCACGCTTATACGAGTGGTTTCTAATGACCCATTAAACTCTTGAGTCATGCAGTCATTGTTACTATGCCATGCAGTTTACTGCACCATGCAGTGTACTGCACCATGCAGTGTACGGCACCATGCAGTGTACTGCACCATGCAGTGTGCTGCACCATGCAGTGTACTGCACCATG